ACTTAGAACAAGCTTAGCAAAGCATCAGGGACCGCGGTTCAATCCCCCAGCACCACATGCCAGCCAGCCCCGCCCCCTGGTGGGCTGAGCTGGCCGCACACACACCACACTCTCTCTCTCTCTCTCTCAAATAAAAATAAAAAAAAAATTTAAAAAAAAAATCAAGCTTGTTCTGCTCCTCCCTCTACTTCTTTGTTGGGCAAGGCAAAAATAAAAGAGTCATCGATCATGCTAGGTTTTTATGCAGCGAAGTTACAGGGGCAGGAAATGCACTTAGTACCTGGCTTCAGTTCCTCTTAGGAAGACAGGGATCTTTCACCTTCATAAATTCAACTCAAAAAGCTATGGTGGGGGCCGGGGAGATAGCTCAGTGGAATAAGCACTTCCTTGGCAAGCGCAAGGGCCTGAGTTCAATCCCTGGTTCCACCAAAAAAAAAAAAAAAAAAAAAAAAGCTATGGTGTAAGCCTAAAGCGGCAAAGACCCCTCAAAATAGTAGAGGGAAAAAGTGGGTAGAAAGTCGGGAAACATGCCCCATTCCAGTTTTTAACTTACCATTCATTGCCTGCTTTATTCTCTTGCTAAATAACTTATAAATATTTATTTAATCCTCACAATTTTCTTGGAATCCAAGAACCAGGAAATAATAATAACAATGTGCCTATTTTGTCAAACCTGGTGGTTTGGTAAATTCTTCATTTAGCATAATTAGACATTCACCCATTTGATTTCTTCTTGCCCATTAGGTTAAATTTGTGCTGTCCAATGAAATAGCAGCCACCTAAATGGCTATTTATGATTTACATTAGCTAACATCAAGATTTTAAATTCAGTCACATTGGACACAGTTCAAGTGTTCCACAGCCGTGTGTGACTAGTAGCTACCACATTAGCACCTCTTGAACGTTCTATTCTAGAACATTTCATTGTGGCAGAGATTTCTGTTGAATCACTCTGGTCTGGCTTGAAGGTTGCCTTCTCCAAAGGCTCTTCACTGACCTGACCACATTTTACCAAACTATATCCTCTTGGGTATTCTTACCCACGGCACCTATTCCCTTCTTCGCCCTGGACATCCTCTCTTGACTGTTCTTCTGTTTATGCATTTCCTGTCTCCTTGCTAGGGTTAGGCTCTTTTAGGGACAGTGACCATATCCACCTTGTTTGTATCTCCCATCTCTTCACTCAGATCTGCTCAGCAACCCCCAGTGGAGACTGGCTTCGCAAGTGACCTCTGACATCTGGCTCTGGAAGAACTGGTTTCACAGACTGAATTCCCTACAGGGAACTTGCCACCTGGTGAGAAAGAACAGAGTCTGCAAAAGATAGGATGTTGGAGATCACAGAGTACAGCATATGGTGCCACATGGAAAGAACATGGGTTTTGGAACCCAACAGATTTGGCCTTGAACCTGTTTCTGCCACCTCCTCGCTGATTATCTTGGGAAAGAAACCTCACCACCCTGAGTCTGTTCTCATCTATAAAATGGGGAAAATGAGTAATTTCTATAAGCTGCAAATAGAAGAAAGGTAGGAAACTTTGCATAGATTTGAGTGCTGTGTGCAGGGGTGCTGGCAGGCGAAGACCAAGCTCTGAAAAAGGAGCTGCAGAGGAATGCGCTACTTATTAGGCACCTGCTGTGTACCAATCTCTGCATACTTCATAAACATTGTTTTATTCAATTCCTTCCATATCTTACAGAGAAGGGACTGAGGCTGGGAGAAGTGAAGGCCATCTCAAGGTCATGTACAAAAGGCGATGGCATACCGGGTGTGGTGGCACACGCCTGTAATCTCAGCATTAGGGAGGCTGAGGCAGGAGGATTGCTGCGAGTTTGAGGCCATCCTGGGCTACAAAGTGAATTGAAGGCCAGCCTGAACTGCATAATGAGACCCTGACTTTAAAAAAATGAGGTGGCAGAGCCAAGAGTTGAGCTCAACCCTCCTCCAAAAGGTGGTGCGCTCCATTACCCAACCCTAGGGTTAAAATTAAACTTCCTGAGAATATGGATATTATGGCAAAGCTTGTCCAGAATTTTTTTTTCTCATTTTGGCAGGCAGAGGACAGGAGATGCTCACAAGAAAAGCCAGTAAGAGTTCACCCCAGGGGAGAAAGACAGACTGGAATGAAGGCATACGGGACAGACAGCAGAGTCTCTGGCCAGCAAAGCTACATTTGGTGAGTGGCGCTCTGTTTCTCTGCTCTCCCGTATTTCCAAGTTTTCTGTCTGAAACTGCTCTGTTCCATTTGCATGTCGGGGTACAAGGAAGGGAAGGCTGATAACAAAACAAATAGAAACCAAGCTACCAACGGTGCCCCTGGCTAGTCTCATTTGTTCTGAGCCTCCAGATTTGATCTCCAACCATCAAGTTCAGGCAGATGTGAGTTTCTGCTTTTAGGTATCACTGGGAGGCAGCTAGGTTTTTCAGTTGTTAATTTTCTGCTGAAAAAATAAATGGGTGAGAGACTAGGTGTGATGCCCAGCACCTGTAATCCCAGCTCTTGGGAGGCTATAAACAGGCAGATCACTACAAGTCTGATCTAGTAGTGACACCCTGAACACCCTGTAGACCCTTCTCTAAAATTATAAAAAATAAAATAAAATAAAAAATAAATGAGTGAGTGAGTGAGTGGCTGACTGACTGACTGACTGACTGACTTCAGGAAACAGAGAGACTGACTGACTGACTGACTGACTGACCAACTGACTGACTGACTGACTGACTTCAGGAGGCAGGGAGAACCATCTCTCCTTCCCGGCTCCCAGGATCATCAGTGGCTCTTTGGCTTACATTGTACTAGTTCCACGCAGAGTTGCTTTCTCCAGCTGGACTGAGCTCTCCTAAAAAACCAGTTTCTCAGTACAGGGCTTGAACAACTATTAGGCACATAACAGGCGATACTGAAAGGTAGGAAGAAAGGAAGCAAAGAAGGGAGGTGCTGCTTTCTGCATTTTTATACAATAATCTTTTTTTTTTTTTTTTTACAGTTTCAGAGATGCCCCAATTTCTTTTTATTGCCAAAAGTTAAAATTGTCAATTATGAAATGATCACAACACAGCTATATCAAACCTAAAAATCTACATTTTTTTAACTTTTCAAATCAAAAATATTAAATAGATTCTTAAGTGCTGTATGTTAACTCTTCAGTATATGTAAAATAAAATACAAGTAAACTTTACAATGTGGAATATGTACTTTGTGTATGCATTAAGTTCTTGGGAATGAAATCTACAGAATTATTTTTTTTTTTTTTTGGTGGAACCAGGGATTGAACTCAGGCCCTTGCGCTTGCTAGGGAAGCGCTTAGTCCACTGAGCCATCTCCCCAGCCCCATTGAATAATTTTTTATTAAAACTTCAAAACCTTGTTACTTGTACATGAAGAATATATTTCTAAGTACAACTGAACAAAGAAACTGACATCATACATACTTCCACAGAGAAGAGATTGCTTCAACAGTTGTGTATTTTGGTAGAGCTTTTGAAAGTAAGCATATCTTAAAAGTAATTAGGCTTTTTGATAGTGGAGTCTTAGGCTATGAGATTTTTATTACTTTTTTCTTCAACAACAACAAAAAACATGTCAATATAATAAAAAATGGAAATCAAGAATATGGCATATCATTCTTTTTAAAAGGTGGTTTCTTTTTCTTTTTCTTTTCTTTTTTTGGCAGAACTGTAAAAGGTGGTTTCTTTATCCCATAGGACAAACTACTTTCAGCCATAATCTCTCAACATTTAAACTTTTAAGTTCACTCTGTAAAGAATAATCAGATTCTCTGCTGAAGTGCATTCCTACACTGAAAAACTTGGAAATAATACAAGTAAATTGCACACAATTACTAATATCCTAAGAATTAAGAGATCAGTTAGAGAACAATTGTGAGGCGGAAGAGATAGCTCAATGGACTAAGCCTAAGCTCCTGTGTAGGCAAGCGACCCGGGTTGGATTCCCGGAACCACATGCCACTCCAGCCACCAAGACTGGACGTGGTGGCACATGCCTGTAATCCCAGTGTTGGCTGAAACAGGAGAATCACTATGAATCCATATAGCGAGACACTGTACCAAATTCAAAGAAAACAACTATAGAGACTGGGCGTGGTAGTGCACGCCTGTAATCCCAGCTCTTGTGGGGGGCTGTAAACAGGCAGATCACTACGAATCTGATCTAGTAGTAAGATCCTGAACACCCTGAAGACCCTTCCCTAAAATACAAAAAATAATTAATTAATTAATTAATTAAAAAACCCAACTATGACACAGTTTTGTTTCTTTTTCCTCTTTAACTTGGTATAGGCGTGGAATAGCAAGTTTCTCACCTATAACGAGTAACACATTGCTTCTAGAAAACTGACAACATGTAAAACAGTTCAAAAAACGCTGACTAACCAAACAAAATGGATTATTATTATTATTATTATGGGATTCTCTTGCTATTCATATCATCTTCACTTCTTATAATACATTGCTCTTAAGAGTCAGGGCAAGAGCTCAGAGGCATAAGCCCCTACCTGGGAAGCGCAAGGTCCTGAGTTCGATCTCTGGTACCAAAAAAAAAAAAAAAAAAAAAAAGCTCTTTCCAGTCTGTCTATAAATATACAGACAGACAGACATCGCTCCTGCGTCTGTACAACACTCCATTTTACACAGCGTAAGCCCACTCTTGATGAATCCGTTCTCACATGCCAATACTATTTATACTTCTTTTCTGGAAGGGTTGTCATCAGGCAACAGCTTGACTTGGGGAAGGGGCCAGAAAGTGCAGGCCTCACCCCACTCTCTACCCCACAATGTGAAAAGAAAGACACATTACCTCATAGTTGGGGTGTGGATGTCAGGTTCCCCTGAAATCACAGCTGCCTCTGGGGACAGGTGGCCCACACTGGCCCGGCTGCCTCTCCGGGAAGACTCTCGAAACAAGCCAGCACCATGGTCTTCATCAGAGGAGTTGTCATCAAAGGAGCCCACAATGAAGTTGGTCATCATCTGTCTCCTTATGTGTGCCTGCCTCTTGTTGGCTCTAGAGGGGGATGAGGCTTGCTGGCCCTGGGGCCTGGCTGTGGAGGACAGGTAGCTGGTACCCGGGGTCTCTGGGCCGGGGGCGCCTGTCCCATTGGTTTGACATTCCTGGGAAGGCCATGTGTCACTGGAAGTCACAGGGTTTCTTGGGGGCTTCTGGTGTGAGGACGGCAGGGAGTTTCTCTGTGGGCAGGCATTTCTGAGGTCTTTGTGGGAGGCTGGCTCTGCCTGGTTAGGAGTGTCCAGAAGAGAGCTGTCGTGGCCGCCATTCATTTGCAATGGCTCTTCGGAACTGTCTGAGGCTCCAGAGGTCTCCTGGTCCATGCCGAAGCTCACATCTAACCCACTGTTGGTCACGGGCTTGGGTTCTGTCATTTTCCCCCAGACTTTTAACCAGGTCAGGCAGGAGAAAATCAGGCAAGATAGAAAGAGCAGAAAGACCATTCAGAAAATCTGTAGAGAGAGAGAGAGAGAGAGGAAAAAAAAGAGACATTTCATTGTTCACATAATAGTTCTCTTCCTCCTAAAGGCATCAGAGGGGTTCTACACACAGGACAGAACAAAGAGATGGGGTTCTCCCTTCACAGTCTGCAACGTGCTTTGTGGCTTGGGGATGTTTAACGACCTTCATGGGTCTGTTTCCTGACTCTAAGTTAGGCAGATTCCGCGGCATGAGGGGGTACTCCAAAGTTTACACACTAGCAGTTTAACTCCCAATGCAGTAGTGTCAAGAACACGGGACCTCTAAGAGGCAATAAGGCTCTGCGGACAGGGGCTAACGCTGTTATTGTGGGAGCGGGCTTGTGATCTTGAAGGTGGATTTTTATAAAACAATTTCAGACCCCTCTTGTTCTCTTCCAAGGGCTCTCTTGCCCTTCTGCTCTGACACAGGAATATGCAGTAAGATGGCCCTTGCTAGACACAGGAACTTTGATCTTGGACTTCTCAGCCTCCTGAACCTTAAAAATAATATTTTTTTAAATAAATTACCCAGGCTCAGGTATTCTGTTGTATCACCGTGAAACAGACTAAGATAGCGTATAGTTCAACAGTACTAAAGATACTAACACATGTTCAACATAAGTCATAAACATGCATGTAGGAAATATCAAATGAGACAACACTCATTACAGGACTGCACTCTAGAGGTGTTATACACACACCACTAGGTAAAAACAACACAGACATCTATGTCTATACTGTATACAAACAGTGTAATGAATATATAAACAGGATATGATATATCTACATAATGGAATATTATTTGGTGATAGAACAGAATGAAGCACTGATCCAAACTATAATGTGGATGAAATTAGAAAACATCTTGCTAAGTTAAAAAAAAAAGAATTCATAGATTGTCTGGTCCCATGTACATGAAATGTTCAGAATGGGGAAATCCC